CTCTCCCGCTTTAAGTTTTTTCAGCAAGTTGGAAAGTAAGTCCATTCCAGAGCCCATTTTGTGATACTCTGATCCACCGAGTTTTCCAAACAAAGTTATAGTGCATTTTAAATATTTATTCAACAGCAAAAACCTATAGTAAGGTTAAAGTCTGGCCCTTATCTCGGATCAGGAAGAGTTGAAGTTTTTTATGACGGCAAGTGGGGTACTGTGTGTGGCGATTCTTGGAACATGGCAAGTGCTAATGTCATATGCAGAGAGCTCGGATTTGGCACAGCAAAGGAAATTTCGTTGAGTAGCGACACTTACGGTCAAGGTAAGTTAAACTTTCTGATTGAGCTATAGAGTGACCAATTGTCAACTTGATTTCATTGCCTGATGTATCTATGGCTACGATGAGTAAAGGGATGAGTGTTTTAAACGCTGTTGATGAGTTCTAAATGATCACCTCTATAATTAGACAGTCTTTTAACCGTTTCCTGGACTACTAGTAATTTGTACATGAAAATCCTGTTTTAGTTATTTGTTTTAAATGCTAATACCACCGGAATTTAACGCTTCCACGCATTCATTGCTCCTTCTCGACTCTTCATGTAAGGTACAAGAAATGTCTGGCTCGATAAAGTAAATTGCACAGGAGACGAAAATTCTATTTTTGACTGTCCACATTCCACATGGAACTACGCAGGTGAAAGCCTAAATGGATTCTGCACGCACGCCAATGACGCAGGAGTCGTGTGTCACGTGCCTGGGCAACGGGGACTGTTAAAGGTGAAGTGACACTGATGTTTACATAGACCGTCTAATATATTGACCATTTTACTAACAAAATATCGTATTAAATATTAAAGTTGCAATATGGATTATGATTTATTATAAACTAAAAAAATGCTGCTTTTTCGGGACAGATGTATAAGTAGTTATTTTACGTACCAAAGCAATTAGTGTACATGCGTATTAGAGAGTGTATTGTTTATCAAACGAATACTTAGATGTACACTACAAGGACACCATTTTCAGATTATGGTAAATCATAGTCCAATGTCAACGTGCTGTATTACAGAAGACTATTAAAATTTACATGTTCATGTTCATATTGCATCTTCAATAAGTTCGCATGCTAATCCATAGTCACATACCTGCATATATTTGCATATAACTTGTATAGTAATTAACACATGTTTATGTTTCTAAGCATCCCAGCATAGCCAAGAAAGTTAACCACGGCATTATCAATGAAAGACATTTCACGCCCTCTGTCGATAACCCTTTGCTACCTTCTCCGTGAAGGCGAAGTTACCGATAGAGGGCGTTATGAAAATATCTCTGATACTCAGTGCAGCTCCCGCTGCTTACTGGGCAACGGAAGATATTTAAATGTTACATGTCTTGCTTTGCCGGCCTCTAACTGTCATGCATTTAAGTTGTGACACTGCACACCTGTATTGCACTGTAGTACGTACCGTAAAGCACAAATAAGCAACGCTACTAATAACAATTCACCAACACCAAGGCAATCTTAACACACGTATACGCAGTAGTTGAAAGCAAAAATTGCACAAGCTTCAATGGCGTCATAACACTATTAATAACAATGTTACAATAATAATTACAAATAATTTAATATAATGATACTAATGATAATAATAATGATTCAAATGGGTAACTGAACGAGGAATTAGATAATAGGTCATATTCACTTTATATCAATACTTTTTAAGTATGAGTCAACATAGATTACGTTAGAACAATTCGTTTAGAAATATTGAATACGTTGAACTCATTTAAAAGAGACGCAGAGACAAAATGGGATCTAGATATAATGTATTGAAATGAAATAGTTCAAATACTTATATATTACTGAAATTTTGTTTATGTTTTCCACAAACAATTTGAAATACATTCGAATGTACAATAAATACAAAATGTAAAACCTTCATAGCGTACTGAATAGTGCCTTGTAGAACATGCACATCGTCCTGAAATTCACTCTGACGTCATAATTGGTCTGGGCATGGCTGCCTTTATTGGAGAGTAGCATAACATTACTACGGTAGTACAACTTGCTGGTGACTAACAACCGCTTCGTCTATTTTATAGACCAATATTCTCAATGTAAAATAATGTGTTCAACTCGAAAAAGTTTAAATAAAGCCTAAGACTTCAACTGACTCACAAAATTTATAAACATTGATGCCACAAAATCAAACTTACGAATTACGTTTTCAACTATTGGCCGATAAACTGAGTCCTGCCCATCTTATTCACATCAAACTAGATGCCGTAAATTTGCATATGTATTTGATAAGTAACGGAAGGGGGGTAAAGTTGTTGGTCGTTGTTTAGTTTGTTTTACGGTACTTGATGTGTACTATACGCCACCTACTGCAGATAAGACTGGTGGGTGGTCGCACTGAAATGGAAGGTCGTTTAGAGGTACAGCATGGCACGACATGGGGATCAGTTTGTAGCGATGAATGGGACATGCGTTCAGCGATGGTAGCATGCAGGCAGCTGGGACTTGGATTTGCTCATCAACCACTAAGAGTAAGTATACGATTGTAATACCACTCGCAATGAAAGAGATTTGTGATCGTTCAGGAATATCGTTGGGCTTATAATGTTCAATCCCTAACGAAGAGAAGAAAAGAATCGGGTAAAACTGTTTTCCCAAATCGATGCACATGTATAATATAATTTTTAAATTGCCATTCAAATTTTGAATTTATTTTGAATATTAGTGATACTTGAATTTTCGCCATTTTTTCAGGCTCTCTTCTTTCATTCACTTAGCTTTGAGCATTGTTTATTTTTCTCAGGATGATAACGGTTCTGTTTGTTGTTATTGTTATTGTTGTTGTTGTTATTGTTGTTGTTGTTAAGTTGCTTTCCTTCATCAATTATGTGTGTGTGTGTGTGTTTGTTTTTAAACAGTTTTCCCAACATTTATCCTCGCAGTCGCAACATACTAGGTACCTAGCTCCAAACCGTCCTCCTGTTTAGTTGTCTACCTTCGTCTATATGTATTCGACTCTCTACTTCAATGACGAAGATCTTTGAAGCGGGTATCATTGTTTGTTGGTACATTTTATTGAAATGCGAAAGCAGTGTTCGTATAATATCACATGATCCGCTACTAAAACGTGACTCATATATGGGTGGTGGAGACAATACTATTTTGGGAAACATTTTCGTGAACCTAACCTAATTTTGATAGTTTTACAGATTGCATCATTCAGGGTCAGGATTCAGTTCTGTAAAAATAAATGGGTACCCAGCATTGTTTCCATGGCAAATTTGCATGGATAAACTGCACTGAAAAGGCGACCTTTGTGCGAAAAATCTGTTTGCAAGTGGGTTCTATATTAAAATAATAGTTTCATCCTTTTGGGGGAATATTTGAATGAAGTGTCACTAAAAGTCACATGTCAATTTCAAGAAATGTTTACGTCTACCCCCGTGTACTATTTCTCTCCCATTTTAACGCCATCATTTCCGTTTTTAATGACTACAGGATGTGACGTATTTTGGTGGACTGGATGTGCCAATCATAATGAGCGGTGTTAGTTGCCGTGGTGACGAGTTGTCCCTGAACCAATGCAAACATGACGGTTGGCATACGCCGAAATGTGATCAATATCATATTGCAGGAGTTGTCTGTTCAACTTGTAAGATTTTTCTCTTTAATTTTTGAATACATTACTGAACATGTTTACAAATTTGAAATTTAATAGTCTGTCTTTCCATACAGAATAACACACAAAAACTAAATATGGTTGAAATCCAAATTTCAAATTTAAATTATCATGTCTTAATTAATCAAACTTTTTCATCTTGTTTTTTTCGTGTGTTTTTCTATTTAGCTCTTCCCGATTTAGTACCCGATTTAGGCCTAATAGAGTCTACAGCATACATTGACGAACGCCCTTTTGGATTACTTCAATGCGCCATGGAGGAAAACTGTGTGTCAAGTTCGGCTTATGACGTCATACCTGGTACCATGCCGTTCATATTTGGTACCCGACGCCTCTTGAGGTTTTCAAGCAGTATCGCAAATCGCGGTACCAGTGATTTCATTCCAGTAACTGACAAAAGATACTGGGAATGGCACCAATGTCACCAGTAAGAAATCTAAATACATTCGAAATTCGTATGTAAATATATTCAATATATCTAATAATTGTTATCTTATATGATAAAATAAAATAATATGAATTATTCAGTTTGAGATAAAAGTCGCAGATCTGACAGTAAAAATCCTCATCATATACAGTTATTTAATGTCAGACCATGGTTTCACGATTTCCATCGACCTGTGATCGATCGCATATTTAGTGGCGGCGATGGACATTTATTTCATCATAGTCTGTCGAATGTGAGTGAGGGCGCAATTTATAAAAACCGTGTTCTAATACAACTGTATATAAACTTTTGTAGGCATCACCACAGCATGGAAGTGTTTGCTACCTATGACTTGCTGAACAGCGAAGGTTACAAAGTGGCGGAAGGACATAAAGCCAGCTTCTGTTTGGAAGACACCCATTGTGACATCGGTGTTTCGAAGCATTACAGTTGTCTGAATTATGGAGATCAGGGAATTTCCGTGAACTGTATAGACGAGTATAAGCACACTATTGATTGTCAGTGGATCGATATATCTGATATCGAACCGGGTTTCTACATTCTAAGGGTGAGTGACGATGTATACAAGGGGTCACAGTCAGTCTTGAGATGGATAGGTTGTATTCAATTTAGTTGATGCGAGAGTGCACTTTTTTATATTCAGGAACTGGATAATAACAGTAAAGTTTATTATATATTACATTTCTAGTGTAGTGCATGCATTTTTTTCCCGCAGTGTCTAACTTGCAATATATTTTAACAAATCTTCCAGTCATACCCCATGATTTCTAGTGGTTGACCCCTTAGCCAGATCACGCGAGATCAGAATACTTACTGAACACGTTCAATTTCTTTTGTAACCAGGTACATGTTAACCCCAATGTCTTCGTGGCAGAGTCTGATTATTCAAACAATGACGTGTTATGCAATTTAGCATATAACGGCTATGAAATCTCCGTCAATAACTGCAGGTTTGGTAAGAAATTTTATTTTATTATAAACCAATCAGTATCGCTGTCGTGGTATTGTATTTGCCCATTGCAAATTAGCGTAAAACGCTGTGATTTTATGACAATGGTAGTCTCATATGAAATATATTAAAAGGCGGTGGTCGTCGCGCCACGCGTGCGCGAAATATGGGCGTCATATAAACAAAGATGTCGATTTTGAATGTTGTGCACACCAACGAGTACAAACGTAGAGGTTACCAATCTTTTATTTGGTATTTTTTTTTTTGGGTGATTGGAAGGTGTCCAAGGAGTAGCCGGCGGTAATTATTGCAAATGGCGGCCTAATTTCATTAGGAAAGCGCACTGGATTGTGGGAAAATCAATGTTTATCAACACAAATGTCGCACATGCACAATGTGACGACTACCACCCTTTAATATGTCCAGATTTAAAGGGCGGTAGTCGTCGCGCCACGCATGCGCGATATATATGGGTCTCATATACACTTTAACTGTTGCGCAATGAGTACAAACTGTTACGTTACCAAGCTATTTTTTAGGTGATTGGAAGGTATCGAAGAGGTCACCGGCTGTAATTAGTGAAAGTCACGACCAGGTCAAACCTCGTACTTGTGATTTCCATTAGAAGAGCGCATTGTATTGTGGGAAAATCAATGTTAATCAACACAAATGTCGCACATGCGCAACGCGACGACCGCCGCCTTTTGAGTATAATTAGACACAAAATATATGTGTTCTAACACGTTCGATGCAGATAAAATTATAACGCAACTGAGAATTACATACTACTTTGAATATTCAACCATTTGTATTTTCTGCATTTCTAGCGCCATCTTGGGGCCATATTGGAACATCTCCAAAAGTTCCCTGCTATTCACATTTCCTATAAATTGCGCCCTCTTGTGACAAAGCGCTACTATGACGTAAATGGATGACACAAAGGCCGTTCAAAAACGTCGATATCTTTACGGAATCGTCCATTATGACATATTTTTAGAGATTGCACTTCTAGTACTAACCATGAGAGGGTGTGATTTACAGCAATGGTGAATACAAATAACATAATATAAATAAAACACCTCGTGTTGGCGCACTCATGACGTCAAATATTTGTACCGGGTTTGACAGTGTATTGGGCGCACATTGGGCCAATAACAAGAGAGAGGGGGCACCAAGCGACTGAAACCTACATAAATACAATAAATAGACAAGATTAATACAATGTCATTGGAGGTACGGAGATCATAATTCCAAGTAGAAACCATGATATCAAATACAATAGTTCAGCTACCATGTAAGTACTGAATGTTCGAACTGCACAATAAACTGAATCATGCCTCTCAATAGACTCAAGTCGACGCATAGAGACTTCCTTTTTTCATAAATATAAATAAATAACATCTAAATTCCGTGTGCGATAAATGCGAGTCACAGAAATAATATTGCACTAGAGTAGCGTATATAAACTCACCCCGACCAGTACATTTCAGTGACGCCCTATATAATTACATAGTTTCTTTTTACACGCAAACACGAAAGTGAGTTCCTAAACGTGGAAAGTAGATGGGAAATACTGCACGAGTGTCATCCCTCAGTGGTTTCAAAGTGATGCTCACGCCGCAAATCTAAGTGACCTACTGACTGAACGTCAAGTTAAGCACCGCTGCGCATGCGCGAAGTAAATTACAATGCTAATTAGAATATGAATACATTTGACCTGTCACACATTCTCTACATCACAACCACTAATATACCACAGTCCCTCTATCATATGATAGAGGGACTGTGAATATACGTAACAAAGAAGAGAACTGGATATGGGAGAGAACAATACTGTATTTGAGTTCTCGCTCTCGTTGTCAACGAGATGTCGTCGCCACATATGCCTACAGTCTATTTCTACACTGACAGATAGCTCATTTTTATTTTTTTTATTGTTTTTTCAGCCTCAGAAGAATAGATAACTGCGCCTGTATTGTTAATTTCAATGAAATTATTTTTATTTTATGAAGTGGCATATTTACTACAATAATGGGTGTACTGTGGTGCTGTTTTAAAACTGAAATACGCTGTGAGTGGATTTCGTCTTAATTGTTACTTTGAACAATCGTAGAGGCGAGTCACACCAAGATACCTCAATAGATATTTTTTCAAATATAGATAAACAGTAATTTAATCTAGAATATTTTTAAGAACAAAAAACTACTGTCCTACTACTACTGTTTTATTTTATTTTATTTTACAGTTAATGTATTTTTGTATGGAGATTTGTGTCTTCAAATACTGTTGTATGTAATATCTGCATTATACTTAAATCGGGTTAAACAATCATAAACTTTCATGATTACACTATTATAATAAATAAGCGTAATGTGGGATCGAGCAAAATAAATAATGCTTTCTGACGCTTTTTTAACACAGGGACATTATTTTCATTTGCAATTATTGGAATAAATAACAATTCTTTCTTTTATTATCAGTATCACGAGATATTATTATTAAGTAATTAAAATTACACAACAAGTGTTCAGAAATACGAATATTTTAAGGATTACTTTTCTTCCATCTTGAGCATGTGTAAAGTACAATGAGTGCAAAGTACAAGATGGAAGCTTAGCTTAATGCCGGACTACATTCAATTACCACCGTCTTCACCACTTCCCTGGTTTGTCAGTGATACACCATAAGAAATGCAAAGCTTGAACGCGTATTAACTACAATCAAATACCATCCTCTACTATCACATTCCCTATTTTATCAATGTTATGTCCTTCAATTGGTATTTTGAAATCCAACGCTTGAAGGCTTATTAACTACAATTAAATATTAACCTCCCCTATCACATTCCCTATTTTATCAGTGTTACATCCTAAGATTAGTTATTTAGTAATGGAAAGCTAGAAGGCTTATTAACTACAATCAAATACCATCTTCTCCCCTAACATTCTCTTGTTCATCAATTATACATCATGATTTTTATTTTAAATGCAAGGCTTGAAGGCTTATTATCTACGATCAATTACTATCCTCTCCCATCACATTCCCTATTTTATCAGTGTTACATCCTAAGATTGGTTATTTTGTAATGTGGCCATTCCAAGATGTAAACTCGTTCTTACAAATAAATAAATACAACATTAGTATATTAGGCCCATTTTATATGATATTTCAATCGTGTGCATGCGACGCAAAACTTAATATATTGCCAAATATTGTGATTTTATATTTGTTTGCATGAGATAGCAAATTTAGTATTTTTTGGCAAATGTTTAATTCATTATCAGTATCAGTGTGTTTAAATTTACGCGAATTAACATTATGGCATTTTACGTCTGTCAAATAACGGCCAAATAAATACGTGGAATCATTAATTACTAAGGACCTGGCGTAGAATTGGAAATTACTTTAAATAAACAAATGTCCAATTCGGGAACAGGATAATCGTATATTTGGTTATTGATGAAATAGTAGGGCGCCACCAGACGGTCTGACTTAACAAGTGCGTCGTGTTTCTCTCACGGAGTTGACGCTGATTGTGCACAAAGGAAGCCGCTCATCCCGCCATTGGATGGCGGCACATCGTGTATGTGGTGTTTACAAAGGACGTGGAAATGATCCGTGGTACATCGTGACCAATAATAAAATGATTGGTTGTCCAACTGTGGGCGTGTTTATTTTTTCAGTGCTAAATGTGCAACACCAAAGTCCCGCCATTTATTTCTCATGGTTGTTCAACCATAGTCGTCTGCACTAGTATCGCGAGTTCTAAGTTTGGTTTACTAAGTGTTTTCTATGTTGGTAAAACCGCGCAAATTCATTTTACCACCACTTTACAGCGGTTTTCACACAAACACCAGTTAATTCCGTTACCCAATAGCTGAAGCAATTTCACATCGACCAGACACGCCCCAAAACAGATGACGAGATTTGACAGGATCGGCCAATGCGCATGCGTATACAACAGCTGGTACTAATATCCTAATTTCCTAATAACTTAATTTGCACTCGTACAATGCAAAATACATATTTGATTAGGTTGGTTGGCCATCAAGTACCATCCTATGGCACCCAATTCATATATCACCAATACCATAGCACAGAGTCATGCTAACAGCGAGTCACAAATACGACTAATATACTAAATTTGCATTTAATTAATTGTAAGGATGATATTACATTGTGAAATGCCCATGATGTACCACGGATCCAAATACCATCATCTCCCATCACATTCCCTTTTTATCAGTGTTACATCCTAAGATTGGTTATTTTGTAATGCAAAGCTGGAAGGCTTATCAACTACAATCAAATACCATCCTCTCCCATCACCCTCCCTTGTTCATCAATGTTACATCATGATTTTTATTTTATTTTGTAATGCAAAGCTTGAAGGCTTATTAACTACAATCAAATACAATCTTCTCCCAACACCCTCCCTTGTTCATCAATGTTACATCATGATTTTTATTTTGTAATGCAAAGCTGGAAGGCTTATTAACTACAATCAAATATCATCTTCTCCCATCACATTCCCTTGTTCATCAATGTTACATCATGATTTTTATTTTGTAATGCAAAGCTTGAAGGCTCATTATCTACAATCAAATACCATCTTCTCCCATCACCCTCCCTTGTTCATCAATGTTACATCATGATTTTTATTTTGTAATGCAAAGCTTGAAGGCTCATTAACTACAATCAAATATCATCTTCTCCCATCACCCTCCCTTGTTCACCAATGTTACATTATGATTTTTATTTTGTAATGCAAAGCTGGAAGACTTATTAACTACAATCAAATATCATCTTCTCCCATCACCCTCCCTTGTTCATCAATGTTACATTATGATTTTTATTTTGTAATGCAAAACTGGAAGACTTATTAACTACAATCAAATATCATCTTCTCCCATCACCCTCCTTTGTTCATCAATGTTACATCATGATTTTTATTTTGTAATGCAAAGCTTGAAGGCTCATTAACTACAATCAAATATCATCTTCTCCCATCACTCTCCCTTGTTCATCAATGTTACATTATGATTTTTATTTTGTAATGCTAAGATGGAAGACTAATTAACTACAATCAAATATCATCTTCTCTCATCACCCTCCCTTGTTCATCAATGTTACATCATGATTTTTATTTTGTAATGCAAAGCTTGAAGGCTCATTAACTACAATCAAATATCATCTTCTCTGTAATGTATACTTGTACTCATGTTATATATATTTGTGAGACGCCCCTTACTTGTAGGTCATTGGAGATGACCTCTAACACGTGATGTAAGTTATTCTCTGGTATGACGACATTCTTGTAATGGCGGACTGTATGAAACATCGTGTGAATGAATAAAAGCTATTTCTGCCTCACTGGTTGGACTTGTGTGAATACATTACATATTGGCGACGAGGTAAACTGGCAAGTACCCCAAGATTCATTTCGTTTATCAATATTGAATGAAAATGGCATCTTTTGGGAAAATTGAAAAGTTCAATGTGGCAGACAAAGAATGGTCACAGTATACGGAACGCGTGACGCAATACTTCATCGCAAACGAAATTACTGATACGACAAAGCGTCGAGCTGTTTTACTGAGTGTCTGTGGGGCAAAAACGTATAGTTTAATGCGTAGCTTGGTGTCGCTCACAAACCTTCCGACAAGACGTACACAGAACTTTGTGAATTAATGCAAGCATACAGTTTTATCCAAAGTCTTTGAACACATTCTTCTAAACAGATGTCAAAATTATCTTGATGTTTCAGACAATCAATTCGGTTTTAAAAAGAAACACTCGACTTACTTATGTATTTTTACTCTGAATGAAATTATTAAGCACTACAATTTCCGTGGAAGTCA